TCACCCCCCCCCCTTCCCCTAGTCCAGGGGTGGGCAACTGTGGCCCTCCAGCTGTTGGTGAACTACAAGTCCCATCATGCCTCTGCCTTTGGGAGTCATGCTTGTAACTGTCAGTTTTGCAATGTCTCATGGGACTCTTAGTTCTACAACAGCTGGAGGGCCACATTGCCCACCCCTGCCCTAGTGGATGGTTGTGCCAATAACTCCCCTGCATTGGTAGCCAGGGGCTGGCTAGAATAATAACCCCAAAGCTGGTGAAAAAAAATAACCCCTTTCCAGCATTGTGTTGGTGGTCAGTGGCTGGCTTATTAACCCCCCCCGGATCAATAACTCCCCTAACCATTGGTGGTTAGTGGTTGGCTAGAACAATAACCCCCCCAGCATCTGTAGTCCATGGCCGACTCCCAAAATGGTGTCTGCCCCCCCTAACTGCATTGGTGGTCAGTGGCTGGAAGAACCCCCCCCCCCCCCCCCCCCCCAGCAACGTTGGCCAGTGACTGCCTGGAAAATTAACCCCCCAGCATTAGTGGTTGGTAAGACAAAAAAAAAAAAAAAAAAATCACCCCCTTCTAGCATTGCATTGGAAGTCAGTGGCTGGCTGAAACAATAACCGCCCCCCCTACCGGCATTGGTGATCAGTGGCTGGCTGAAACACTAACCCCCCTCCTCAACCAGCATTGGTGGTCAGTGGCTGGCTGAAACAATAACCCCCCTCCTCAACCAGCATTGGTGGTAGTGGCTGGCTGAAACAATAACCCCCTCCTCAACCAGCATTGGTGGTCAGTGGCTGGCTGAAACAATAACCCCTCTCCTCAACCGGCATTGGTGGTCAGTGACTGTCTAGAACAATAATCCTCCCCAAGATTGGTGGTTAGTGGCTGGAACAAATCCCTCCCCCCAGCATTGGTAGTCAGTGGCTGGCTGGAATAACAACCACCTTCAGAATTGGTGGTCGCTTTTTGGCTGCCCCTCTGTCCTTCCCCAGGATTGGTGGCTGGCTAAAACAATAAATGACCACCACCAGTATTGGTGGTTAGTGACTGACTAGAAAAGAAAAAGGGGATGGACAGCACAGGAAAAAGCAAGATATTGTGAATGAAATAAATAAAAGTGATTTAACTACTAGAAACAGATTTAAAGAATATATTTTCTTCAGTGGTCTGAAGAAGCACCTAGGACTAATGCAACCCATGGTTGCATGAAAGAAAATCACATCTATGGCCTGCCTCAACAGCATTATTAATTATATGCCAGTTTTGAATCCCTCTAAAAATAAGGCAGATAAGATTTTATCTCCACTTCTAACCACTCTCCCTGGTCACAGAAATAGGTCATCTGCCCCACAGAAATGAGAGTTGCAGTGACACATGAAGAAGAGAGAGGTCTTTTGATGTGTGGGCTATAATGGACAGCCTGTCTTCACCTTCTCTACACTGTATGAAAGGGAAGACCAAGGCACCCAAAAAACTACCCAGATCTCTGGAGACAAGCAGAAACAGATTTTTTGTTCATAAATTATGCAATAGTGAACGGTTTATAAACTAAATTTAAACATGATGGCAGTTTTCATAAATGCTGGCAGAAGACCATCTAGGGGTACTCTAAAATAATAAACTATGCTAAAGTATGACCAGAGCTGCTGATAAGGGGGCAGCACCAATCCTCCTGTACTGGGCCCGGGCCACACACACACACACACACACACACACACACACACACACACACACACACACACACACACACACACACACACACACACACACACACACACACACACACACACACACACACACACACACACACACACACACACACACACACACAAAGAGATAACAGAAAGAAGTTTAGAGGGATAAAGTACTTGCCGTCAGCCTTGGTTTAAAGCAGATCAGGTTTCAGAGCCAAAAGGATGCCTTATCTCCCAAAGTTAGTTCCGATGTTAAAAGGGAGAATCTTCAATTTAACTCAACTCAGCTTAACTCAACTTCAAGCATCACAGCCTTTATCTAGGAACTCAGCAGGGTGTCTCCCTGAAGCAGAGAACCATTCGACTCATTTGGGCGAGTGTGGCAGGCGGAGACCCAAGCTATGACCAAAAATCCCTTGTAGCTTATATGATGGTTCATAACTTACCCTGGATACATATAACATTCTATCCACGAGTAGATTAATACGCAGAATCTTCTGCTGAACGTCTACATATGAAATATGAGATACCTACTGGGATGGTTAAGGAGATATTATTTTCTGCTCTCCTGTTGATCTCAGCTAGGGGATGTAATATAACAAACAATTTGTATTAAAGTGAGCCGTCCGAATATATGCTCCTTGTTTATGTAGTTATGTCCTATTTGAAGATATAAAATATGGAAAAGTGAGTTTTTAAATGTACGTCTGTTTTTACAACTACCTGGAATGTCTTTGAGGCTCCGTGAGGGCTTGGTTTATGGTTTTATGATCCCTTCTCCAGCAAGAGTCTTGCAGACATAGGGGCACCAGCTAGTGGGTGTTTATAGCCATGACTCCCTCCCAATGAGTTTGCTGCCTGTGATCTCTGTCAAACAGACCACATGTCACTCAACAGAGAGGGAGGGGGGATATCGGAGGAATCGGATTTGGGAGAGATACAAAATGGAGGGGTTTGGAGCAAAATGGAAGACCGCGTCCATCTCTGTGTGCATGATTGCTACACACACTAGCTCCTAGAAGCAAATATCAGCATATTTTTTTCTGCTCCTAGACGCTAAATAGTGTTATCCATATAAACTACTTTAGGGTATTTTGAGCTACAGAGTCTATGTTTTATCTTTGGCATCCTCTATGATCATTGTTAGTACTGCCAAAAACCTTGTATGCATTTCCTTCTACATGTGTCAGGGATCGCTGGTCCCGGCGCAGGCGCAGTGCGCCGCCTCGCACGGGAATGCGGGCACTAGGTCCGGGCCGACCGCGGCGGCGAGCTCGCTCATGCGCACTGAGTGACGCGGGTGCGCGCCGGGCACCAATGACAGCGCAGGGCGCAGTATTTAAATCGCCCTGAGCTGTCATTGAGTGCCGTTCGGTCTATACCTGTTCCTGAGTTACCTGATTACTGTGAGTACTTACCTGGATTGTCTTCTCCTGCTGTCTTCTCCTGCCCTGACCTTTGGCTTGCCTGACCTCTCTCCTGGATGCCCCCCGTTTATTCTGATCTACTGTTGCTGACCTGGCGTGTGACCCGACTATTCTCTGCCCGCTGTTTTGTACCTCGCAGACCCCACGGCTCCCGACCCAGCTTGTTTGACCCTGCACCTGCTCAGCCATCCATCCATCCCGTCGGGAACTCCCGACCTCCTCACATCAGGCTCTTCCTCTGCGGGAGCCCTCGGTGGATACCTCTACCAGCGGTGGGTGTGCCCAGTAGTCGCGACCTGGTCTCTGAGCGCTCCAAGTCCATCCCCACCATCAGGGGCCCTGGTGAACAAGTGCTCTGGGACTTAGACTCCGCGCTCTGGAAGCACCTAACCGGTGGATTGCTAGAGGTACCGCTGGGCGGTCCCTTACAACATGTTTCACCACATGGCTTCTTAAAGAAATTATGTAAAATATCTAACAAAAAAAAATCCCAAACACAACACACACATTTTGTACGCAAGGACAAACAATCCACCCATATACCAGTCATTCGATCAACAAACCAGTCCACATCAGAGGAGCGTCTCTAAAGATGGAAACAAACTTCACCATAAGCCTACCTGGAGTTGGGGTAGTCTGTGGACCACCGCAGAGGGTGTATGTCAGCAAAAAAGTAAAATCCTATAAAACATGAATATACATTCCTTTATTGTTAATCGCTATACACAATAGAAGTACATATTCCCTCACCTTTTGTAAGTTTAGTACTTACAATTATTTAGTAATTACAATTAAGTGAGGGAATATGTACTCCTATTGTGTATAGTGACTTAAAAACATAAAAACACTATTGACTTGGAGCTGAATTTTTAAGGTGCTTTACCCATTGACCAGAACATAAACAGTTAAAATACCACAAAGCTGAACCAATGCATCTATATAGGCAGAGATAATACCTATGCAGATGCATTGGTTCAGCTTTGTGACATTTGCAGTGGTATTTTAACGGTTTATGTTCTGGTCAATGAGTAAAGCACCTTAAAAATCCAGCTCCAAGTCAATAGTGTTTTTATGTTCAAATCTTTAAAGGATGTGGTGCAGTTATATTAGTTTCCTTTCTTCTGCATAGATATTTGAATAGGAGAATCAGCTGTGACTTTTTGGCCACATAAGTTTTGATAACAAGCACTGTCAACTGTTGGGTGACCTTTTTAATGCACATACCGACTCATTTGAAAGTGCATTCTGTGACTGTTAATCAATTTCTATCTTATGGAAAAAAGCGAGTGAACAGCCAACACTGGAAAGTGAGCAGAAGATTGCAATGGGTTACAGTGCGTTGTCCATCAAGAACCTCCACTGTCTGATTTTGTCAAAATAGCAAATTTTAATTGATAGGATTAACAGTTCCATTTAATATTTTTTTACCTTTTGACTGAATTTGTGCTTTAAAAAAAGAAAATATTAGATCAGGGTGCAAATTTCAAAATGCCACAGCGATCACCAGTCACCTTGTTTTCCTGGCAGTTTAAAACTGGTTACCAAAATCAACACATCATAATTGCACACAGCAATTTGTATGAAAATAAAATCTGTGAACCTAATGCAGCAAGCTATTCAGGTAGGGGAATATTAAATATACTGTGAAACGGTCTGCCAAAAAGGTACAATCCCAAAACAATGTCATCTGTGCAGGGAAAAGTTCAGTAGATAACAAGGACCATAAGTTAGATACTTTTCTGGTTGAACACTTGTGCTAGGTACGTGTGTACGTGTGCGTGTGTGTGTACACTTCTTGCCCAAAGTAGGACAGCCCTCCAAATCATTGGATTCAGGTGTTCCAATCACCTCCATGGTCACAGGTGTATAAAATCAAGCACCTAGGCATGCAGGCTGCTTCTACAAATATTTCTGAAAGAATGGGTCGCTCTCAGGAGCTCAGTGAATTCAAGCATGGTACCGTGATAGGTTGCCACCTGTGCAATAAGTCCATCTGTGAAATTTTCTTGCTACTAAATATTACATGGTCAACTGTTAGTGGTATAATAACAAAGAGGAAGCAACTGGGAACAACAGCAACTCAGCCACGAAGTGGTAGGTAACGTAAAATGACAGAGCGGGGTCAATGCATACTGAAGCTCACAGTGCACAGAAGTCGCCAACTGTCTACAGAGGCAATAGGCAAAGACCTCCAAACTTCATGTGGTCGTCAGATTAGCACAACAGTGCAAAGAGCTTCATGGAATGGGTTTTCAGGGTCCCGAGCAGCTGCATCCAAGCCTTACATCACCAAGTGCAATGCGTCAGATGCAATGGTGTAAAGCACGCCGCCACTGAACTCTAGAGCAGTGGAGACGTGTTCTCTGGAGTGACCAATTGCTCTTTGCTGTCTGGCAATCCGATGGACGTGTCGGGGTTTGGCGGTTGCCAGGAGAACAGTACTTGCCTGACTGCATTGTTCCAAGTGTAAAGTTTGGTGGAGGGGGGATTATAGTGTGGTTTTTTTTTTTTTTTTTTTTTTTTTTTTTTTTTTAGGGTTGGATTGGCCCCTTAGTTCCAGTGATGGAAACTCTTAAAAAAGGAGAAGTTCACCTTTTACGGGCAGAATTTCACTTTTCACAATAAATAGCATTTTCGATTGCATTTCTGGTCCAACCATCCCAATGCGCTTTTCTCTCACTTACCTCACCCACAGGACGTTTAATTTTTTTTGTCAGTTTGTGAGATTTTGAATGGATTTTCAGCTTGCATAATTTCCTGTAGATTGTCTCCCAGAAGCCTTCACTTCCTTGTTGCATCACAGAGGGTGTGATAGGGGCTGGACCACACACCTCCCTTATTACAATATTACCTTTCAGCCATCGACTATGTAGAACAAGGGCCTGTCTGATTTGACACAAAACTGAATGGATTGTACAGGTGTGTCCTATTGCATAGTTCTAGTAAATCTAAACACAAATTGTACAGATTGTAAAGTGTATGGCCATCTTTGTACAAATACATACAGTGCCTTGAAAAAGTATTCATACCCCTTGAAATGTTCCACATTTTGTTACAGCCAAAAACAAATGTATTTTATTGGGATTTCATGTGATAGACCAACACAAAGTGGCACATAAATGTGAATTGGAAGGAACATGATAAACGGTTTCAAATTTATTTTTACAAATAAATAGCTGAATAGTGTGGCGCACATTTGTATTCAGCCCCCTTTACTCTGATACCCCTAACTAAAATCTAGTGGAACCAATTGCCTTCAGAAGTCACCTAATTAGTAAATAGAGTCCACCTGTGTGTAACTTAATCTCAGTATAAATACAGCTGTGCTGTGAAGCCCTCAGAGGTTTGTTAGAGAACATTAGTGAACAAACAGCATCATGAAGGCCAAGGAACACACCAGACAGGTCTGGGATGAAGTTGTGGAGTTCAAAGCAGGGTTAGGTTATAAAAAAAAAAAAAAAAATATTCTCAAGCTTTGAACATCTCACTGTTCAATCCATCATCCAAAAATGGAAAGAGTATGGCACAACTGCAATCCTACCAAGTCATGGCTGTCCACCTAAACGGAAAGGCCAGGCAAGGAAAGCAATAATCAGAGAAGCAGCCAAAAAGCCCATGGTAACTCTGGAGGAGCTGCAGAGATCCACAGCTCCACAAATCGGTCCTTTATGGAAGAGTGGCAAGAAAAAAAAGCCATTGTTGAAAGAAAGCCATAAGAAGTCCCGTTTGCAGTTTGCAAAAAGCCATGTGGGGGACACAGCAAACATGTGGAAGAAGGTGCTCTGGTCAGATGAGACCAAAATTGAACTATTTGGCCTAAAAGCAAAAACACTATGTATGGCGGAAAACTAATACTGCACATCACCCTGAACACACCATGGATGCTTTTCTTCAGCAGGGACAGGGAAGCTGGTCAGAGTTGATGGGAAGACGGATGCAGCCAAATACAGGGCAATCACAGAAGAAAACCTGTTAGAGTGCAAAAGACTTGAGACCGGGGCAGAGGTTCACCTTCCAGCAGGACAACGACCCTAAACATACAGCCAGAGCTACAATGGAAAGGTTTAGATCAAAGCATATTCATGTGTTAGAATGGCCCAGTCAAAGTCAAGACCTAAATCCAATTGAGAATCTGTTGCAGGACTTGATAATTGCTGTTCAGACGCTCTCCAATCTGACAGAGTTTGAGCTATTTTGCAAAGAAGAATGGGCAAAAATGTTACTCTAGATGTGCAAAGGTGGTAGAGACATACCCAAAAAGACTTACAGTTGTAATTGCAGTGAAAGGTGGTGCTGACTTCATTTTCCAGCAGGACTTGGCACCTGCCCACACTGCCAAGAGCACCAAAACCTGGTTCAATGACCGTGGGATTACTGTGCTTGATTGGCCAGCAAACTCGCCTGACCTGAACCCCATAGAGAATCTATGGGGCATTGCCAAGAGAAAGATGAGTGACATGAGAACGAACAATGCAGAAGAGCTGAACGCCGCTATTGAAGCATCCTGGTCTTCCATAACACCTCAGCAGTGCCACAGGCTGATAGCTTCCATGCCACGCCGCATTGAGGCAGTAATTGCTGCAAAAGGGGCCCAAACCAAGTACTGAGTACATATGCATGCTTATACTTTTCAGAGGTCCGATATTGTTCTATGTACAATCCTGGTTTTATTGATTGCATGTAATATTCTAATTTTCTGAGATTGTGGATTTGGGGTTTTCATGAGCTGTTAGCCATAATCATCACAATTATGACAAATCACGGCTTGAACTATCTTGCTTTGCATGTAATGAGTCTATCTCATATACTAGTTTCACCTTTTAAGTTGCATTACTGAAATAAATGAACTTTTGCACGATATTCTAATTTTTCGAGTTTCACCTGTATGCTCCACTTTGTGTTGGTCTATCACATAAAATCCCAATAAAATACATTTATGTTTTTGGTTGTAACACAACAAAATGTGAAAAATGTCAAGGGGTATGAATACTTTTTCATGGAACTGTAGGAGGGAATGGACGGAGACACTCAGCTGTCAGGCCCCATTCACATCTCCACGTAGTGAAGACTCACGTTCTTGCATGTGTTTGTTTTGGGCGTTTTGGAGCGGTTTCACTCGTCACACATAGGGCAGCCCATTCACTTGAACGGGCTGCCATACATGCAACAATCGCCCAAGAAATGCTCCAGAACTTATTTTTTGGAGAGGAGCATGGTGTGTACCGCAGTTTTTGGTGTGTTTCCCACACGTGGGTTGCCTTTAACATGTAATGGCAACACAAGCATGATGCACATTTGCAGCAAGTTTCTGAACCGCATGGCAAAGCGTGCATTTTCTGTTCAGATTGCCATGTATTCGGAAACACACAGATGTGAATAGAGCCTCATTGTTCTACGTAAAGCACCAATTTCACTTTCAGGACCCATTCACACCTAGAGGAAGCGTAGAGGTGTGTGCTAAATGTGGAAAAGGCTCATAGGACATTTTGGCGTGATGAGAGTTGCACATTTTGCTGCATTTGTCACACATTTTCTCATGTGGCAAAAAGTATGCTTGTTTCTGTGTTTGGTGTTCTATTAACAATTAATTACACTGAAAGCACAACTAGGTAATTTTAGGTGTATAAAAGGTGGCCATACACTATACAATCTGATTGTATAATCTGTTTGATCTTCTTTAGATTTACCAAAACTATGTAAATCGGAGGACACAGCATCTAACCAAACACTTGGCCTGAGCTCGTCTGTAGAGACACTGGGGTAGTCAGGCAAATGCATGTGGGGAGATATCCCCATGGGCATTTGCCTGTGAAAAATAGTTGAAGGGTGAAGGGTGGTGTAATAATGAGGTCAGTGCAGGATGTGTGTGCTAATGAGATCAGCTGGTAATCTGCTTTCAGGGTCCATTGTATTCTTATATTTGTAATTGTAGGCATGACAGTCCCATTCAGGGGCGGACTGACCATTTGGAAACTCGGGCACTGCCCGAGGGCCTGGGGTCAGTAGGGGGCCCCATGAGATGCCCCTTGTACCTTTTTCATAGGCTTGTTTGGGCAAGGACACAGGGGCCCCATGACCCCTATTGCCCAGGGGCCCCATGAGTTGTCAGTCCACCCCTGGTCCCATTGCACCACATGGATTGGAATAGTGCTGAAGAGTCCCTAGCGGGTGCTAGACAAGGCAGTGTTAACAGGTTTCTTTTGTCTCAGGTTTTATAAATCATACCAAAATATATGTATTTGATTTATAAAGAATTTCAGGTAGGTATGCATTTCTTACAAGCAGTACCAGAGCTTGTCCTCACTGACATCTGTGGCTTCAGGCACTGTGGAGCAATTAATCCTTAAAGTTCATAACACTCTTCTTGGTTGTAGTCCATTTTGTAGCAACTTTATCTTATGCCGTTCTCGCTCTCAGCAGTAACTCTGCAGCCTTCCACTATAAACACTGCAGCTGATTACATTAGAATCTTGAAAGGCTACCAAGTCACTGCTGGAAGAGAGAATGTTATAAAGCTGTGGAGTGGAGTAAAGCTGCTGAGAACGCAGCTATGCTGCTATTAAGAGTGCCTTAGTTATTAAATTTGAGGATGATGTACTCCATAGAACCTACAACTTTTTTTTTTTTTTTTACTTTTAATTAATTTTATTCCTCCCACTTACACAAATGCCTAAAACTGTTATTCTATTTTTTATGATTTTACTTTTGCTTTTTGTGCTGCAAAGCAGCACTCCCCAGTTTCTGGCCTAGGCTGGGCCAGAAACATCACAGCTATCCCAGGATATGTGATGCATGTGCGCATGCATGGAGAGGATCTGTGCATATGCAAACACCAATGGGCGGTATAGTGGCAATTTGCCAGAAGCTGGCAGTGTTTGTGCACACACAGAAATCCCACTATCTGTGAAAATTCACCCCCCCTTCCCAGTCTCTGCCCGGTCCAAGATACCTGGAACACAACGGTGCCGCAGAAGTGGAAGGCATTCATTTAGAGGTTTAGTTCAGCTTTAAAAGCTACATTCCATGAATATCCCAACATGACAACGCCTGCAGATATACCCAACATACCAAGGAGATACTTGCAAGTTTGCAGACAAAGCAGATGCCAAGGAAGGCTACAAAATCAAAACCCATAGGACATCAATGGGATATTGGCATAAAATCTATTAGATGCCAGGAGTAGGCTGCATGACAACCATAAGCCAGTAAGACAAGGAATCATTGTCAGCCAATAAAAAACAAACATTTAAGCCATGCC